AATCAGCGGAGCACCCGTGCCCCCTTGGAAAGAATTCCTCTACGTGAATATTGCCAAGAAAAACTGATCTATTCTCTCACTCGAAAGAAAGTATAGCAGGAGTAAGAGAGTTCCGAGAAAAGCAAACTTTATTAAAGATAACAAGGGTCCAACCATGCTTTGCTTTGTTTCCATGCCTCGTCCTCTCAATTCGTTAGGTTTTTCTTTTTTACTCTTTCTTTTCTCCTCATTTTGTCTAGGTTTGCACTACCATAATTTTTAGATTTTTTATTTGTATTTACACTATCATTCTATTGGTAAAAATATTATAAAAAAAATCACTAACAAAAAAATTCTTCATTGATAAATCTTTCATTAGTAATTTTTTATTTATTAGTAATAAAAAAATATTATTACTGATAGATTTACAGATAAAAAAGGTGAACAAAAAAAATATTTCATTCCATTGATAATTTTCTTGGAAACAAACCGTATATAATTCAGTTTGTAATTATTTAAAAATATTTTTTAAAATATATTTTAAAAAACTATAAAATAATTAAATTAATATTAATCAAAACTCTATAATACTCAAAATGCTTGGAAAAAAAATCAACACAAAAAAATTTGCCACAAATAAATAACTTGAAAAAATAAATTCAACTAAAAAAATTCATATGAAAAAAATTAAAAAATCCTATAAATAAATCAATTAAAAATTGATCTCATATGAAAAAAAAAATCATACAACAAAATTCATACAATTATTAAGAACAAAAACAATTAAAAATGAAATAAAATAAAAATATAGTGAAAAACATGAAAAAAAATATATTTTTTTTACTTTAATGTTATTGTAAGTGAAGTTAAGAAGAGAAAAAAATTCATAAAGTATACTAATTAAAAAAACTGAGAAGAAAAAATAAAAAAGAAGAAAAAGATATATTTGAGCATAGAGAAGAAGAGAAGGAGCCGAGGAGAGAAGAAAAGAAAATGAAGAAGAAGAAAGGAAACGTGTCTTTTGTGAAATTAGAGATTTTAGGCTTTTTATTGAGCTGTTTTATTGATAGTTTTACCGATGGATAATTAAATATTAATATTTTTAATCATTTTATCGGTAATTTTATCTGTAATATTTAATTTAAAATTTAAATTTAATAAATAATTTTCAGAAATCACCAAATTCACCAACGAAATTTCAATCCGTCAATGATTTCGTTTATGATATTTAATTTAGATTTTTCAGAAAACAGCCAAAAAATACCAACAACTTTTCAATCTGTTAATGATTTTATTTGTAAAAAAATAATAATTAACAGTGCAATTGAAAAGTGAATAATTCCAAAACTTTTTGTAGACTAACTACAGAATGTTCCATAGATGAATCTCTTTATAGTCAACATGATTAATAGTATTGATAATTTACTAATAATTTTATTGACGGAATTACCGACATAATTTATTTCATCGATAATTTCATTGGTAAAAATAATACATTATTATTATTTTTATTTTATTTTAATTATTTTTTTCCAACTGTAATTTTCTCGGTAAATACTGAGGGAATATTTTTGCTTGTAAAATTCATTGGTAATTTACCAACGAAAATATTTTTTTGATATTTTTATTTATATTTATCGATTTTCTGGTAATATTATTTTAATGTTCTTGCACTATACTACTACATAGATTGAATTTGCCATTTGGCCACACCAACTTCATCAAGTTAATTTTATGACATTACATCACTGAATTAACCTGTGATTCTTTCTAAACAAGAATGTATAAGTTTTAGATTTGACGAGAGTGCTCATGATGCAAAGCATAAAAAAAAGCACTGCTCATCTTGTGATTGTTAGAGCAAAAAGAATATGTAAATGTTAATCCATATTTAAGCAAACAATTAATTCAAAATTTTAAGTTGTTAATTACGTAAAATCTTGATTAAAAATCGTTCTTGTTCTACTCTTCAATCGAGGCATGATGCACAACCTAAGTTCTTCGATAAATTAATACATTTAGATTATCAAGTGGTGAGGTTCTGTAGTAGTATTTTTTACGGCAAAAAAAATGAGATGCAAACATTACGCATAACTTATAATGTCAGATTAAATATTGAGAATAAAATATTAAGTTTATGTTAAAGATTAATATAAAAAAATATTTTTTTTATGTTGGTTTAAGTTCTTAGGCCAGAGTGTTTCAGGTTAAAAGTTTAAATTTTACCACTTTCTTTCTTTTAAATTAAATTGATAGATTTAAATATAAGATAATGTTGAGTTTATGGAATTTAAATTTAAAATATTTTTATTTAAGAAGATATTAAAGAAAGTATTAAATTAGACTGTTTTAAAATTGAATCGACAATTTAAATAAAGATGATTTTGTAATATGTTTAAATTAAAAAGACATGGTTAAAAATTTGAAATCTAAGAAATGATTAAGAAATCACTCACCGTGTAAAAAGACTTGAACTTTCGAGTGCTTATGAAGTGGCAGGACGTATTTGTCGTCCACTTAGATACATGTTATTAAAACCCAGAGTCAAGTCAAATTACAGTAATAGAGCTGTTAATTTGGCGACATGAGTGTAATACGAGGTAGAATTAAAATAGTGAATGCCTGCCTCATGCGTGTCTGTGACTGTCTGAAATAGAATCCTGATAAGCTAACAAGCCCTAGGAATGCTCATTCTCGTCTCTTTCTCGGGATTTTTATTCATCGATCTTTGATTTGCCTCAGAACCCCATGTAGGGTTAGAAAATCTGTTTGGGATTCAAACCCTTTTGACCTTGGACCTTGCCATCCCTAATTCTTGACCTCTACTTGCTTTAAAGAGCCTAGCCATCCAGCTCTAGTTGAAAAACTAAAAGAGTTTCAAGTACTGCTACTATTATTTAAAATTAAGAGATATCGAAACTGTTTCTTGAAGTAATGTCTTAGATTCAAGTGTTTATTATTGCTACCCTGTGGCCTAAGTTGATCTTCCCTTGGCATGTGTACAAGCGCCCCTCTTTTCTTTCTAGTTTGTGTTAAATATTCATTAACATGTAAACTTACGGCATTGCTGCGCGTGGTTTGAGGTGATCTTCTCCCTTGTGTGTGTGTGTGTGTGTGTGTGTACACCCTGCATCATCTCTACTCATTAAGCAACTGTCCAATGTCCTTCCTTTACTGTAATCCAATTTGAGGCAGGCAGCAGCTGCTAAGGCCTGAGATAATATTTTGTATGGCTGCTTGCTTATACACTGGGTGGATGTAACCGTGTTTTTGTTTCCCAGGTGACTTCGAGTCCCATGGAGTATTTGCTACTGCAACATGTTCACATATAATTTTTACCACCCAGCATGCCCCACACACACCCAATGTATTGAATAATGTACATTATTCAAGAACCATGATATCGATCCGGAGGTGATGAATTTATGACCGAGTTTGGTTGAAACAAAAAATTCCAAAATTGGATAAAATAATTAAATTGAGGTAAATAAAATCTTTCCATGCTTGCCGTTGTTCCTACTAATTCAAAAACATACCGTTCATAAAACTAGAAACATTTTCCTGCCATGTAAAGGGCTAAATCTTGGGAGTCAAAGATTGTTGTTGGGCCGATGACTGGAACATAAACAACTCTTAGCTGACTACGCCGGGCTGAGTAATTAACCATGGATGGGGTACTGGTCTTGCTTTGGCCCGTATTCTTGAATCAAGCCTGCTGGTGAGTTAGGTTGGCTTTCAAACAACGGTGTTTATGTTATCTTGAAGATCGAAGTAAACGAGGACACGAATTTTCAAATACTGAAACAACCAGGACTCTCTGTCCCCTTGTTTATCACTCGCAAACCATTACCTTTGGATATTATCACAATTTTCTGACGCTACATGCATGGATTATCAGCCCAGCCAAAACTACCTGTCCCCTGTTGAATGTGTCACAAAAAGACGTTGCTGACAAAATCCTGATGCTATGCTTGAGATTGCTTATCCTATGTTATTCGAGTTGTGTAACCCTATAACTTGTCATGTTTCCCATTGCGGAGTTTTAGAGTTTACGGCAGAGGAGGGTTTCATTACAACAGTGGATGATGAAGAACTTGAAACTAGAGAAAGGAAGCGTTGCACTGATAAAGAATGCTGATCTTGCGAAGGGAACGTACATGAAGTTACAGCCACATACCACAAGATAACGAAGATTTATTAGAAGTTAAAATCTTCAAAAAATCTGAATAACCTAACTATTAAGGGATATAAAAAAAAATTGTTTTAGAAAATACCCTCAGGAACTTTACTTTTCTAACTGTTGGTGATACTATCATGATAATGCACAACAACCAAAAATATTACATTGATGTTGTTGAAGCAAAGCCATCATCTTTGCACCTCCTCTGGATTGTCAAGAACGTGAAAGACTGGTTGAAAGACTACGCATTGAAGATGAAAAAGAACAGCCCCTTTCCTTTTCGCAGCATCCAGCAAAATTGAAAGAAGAGCAGGAACAGCCAGGATGCAAAGTTCACCTCATTCACAGGTGCAGCAAGGCCGTTGGATGGGAAAGCTGTGGCATCAATTCCAATTAGGGATTGCTCTCCTGTGCAAAAAGAGCAGTAACCGGCCGGTGCTACAACAGATGATGGATCAAGTAATAACTCCACTAAACATGGGAAGCTCGTCTTTGATTCAAGTGTGGCCGAGGCTCGTAATGCATCAAGAAAAATAATATAAGGGGATGAAAAGAGGGAAACCTTGGAAAAGGAATTAGAAGAGAAGTTCAAACCCTTTACTGGAAGAAGTGTCAAACTCATAGATAAATAATCCTTTAATTTCACTAATTTTCCGTCAGCTTCTTAGTTTAGGGTAGATGAAACTCAGTATCCAATCGCGTACCATTGTTTGTGATAGAAGCATCTCTATGCAAATGATTTATTCTGTCCAGTTGATTATTATAGTTCTTAATTACAATTAGCAGCGCCCATAATTAGAAACTGATATAAGCTTAGAGCAATAAGCGAACCACTCCCAAGTAATCAAGTAAATAATTATTTAGACCCTGTTCATAAACATTCCTCCCACTTTTATGCAAGTGGAAGAACAACACAAAGGAAGTATAGAATAAACCAAACCCAACTCAAGCACTGATAACACTCAACCACCGGCCTTAAGATGTGGTTTGAGCGGAATATTTAAAAAATACTTTAAGAATTGTCATATTTACTACTACTATTATAAATATATTATTTTTGTGAAAATTATTATTACTACTATTATTTGGTGTTAAAGAAAATTATTAATGTCCATATTTACACCACCGTGCAAATATCAATTCTGAGCTGCTTTTCTTTTTAAGCAGCATTTAGGTTATGGAGAAGCATCCGCCACTTGGGATGTCTTTGAATGCTTACTGACCTTCTGCTCAACTCCCAACCATTTCTGTATAAGTTGAAATGTTGCTTTGTCACACAGCAGTCCACGGTGATTAGCAGCAACTCCTACTCTTTCCACTGCCACAAAACCGTCTGCCTGTGTACCAGAAAGATTATTCAGAATTCAGTACACATTTAAACTTTTTGGAGAAAAAGCTGAAGCTTGAATATTGAACAGTAGTAGTGAAAACTCAAGAAGATTACACAAACAAGATAGGCATGCTTAGTAGCAAAATTGATTTATCTAAAATACAGCAAAAATATTCAGTCTAATCCACTCCCGCTTCTACTTCTCGTTCTCCTATTTTTCCTAGCTAAACATTTAAAGATTCGGGGAAGAGGAGAGGATGAACTAACATTAAATATTTTGACATCATGTGAACCCATGGTAAAAATGATTGCGGCATTAAGCTATTGAACATTATGGTTTTTATATGGTACCTCTCCATTCACTGCATCTACAAACACAAAATGATGCATGAACCCTCTTTTATTCAGGATTACCCACTATTTCATCTTTGGTCACACTCCAACAGAGAATTTCAGTTGCTATAATGTTTTGGCAATTGACAGCAGAATTTCACCCCCAAGACCATCAAATCACCATCCTTGTATAATTTTTGAAGTACATAATAGAAATCAAACGAAAGGTTAGAAGAAGCACCTTTGCTGATTCAGC